GTGTAAATTTGGATGGTACAGTTTAAATTTCATACAGCAAAATCATTTACTCGTATTGTATAGTTTTTTGTTGTTGTTTTATATTGTTTTTGCTTTTAAATAGCAGTTTACTCCAGGAACACAGGGCACAATACATCAAACATGAAGCACTTTTAATCTCATTAATGTCAATAAGTGTGTTAAGCTTATGCCTGTATTTCTCTGATCTATTTTAATGGGATTTAACCCTATCATGCCTATTTCCCTTTGTTTGTGGAAATGTTCCTTATTTTATAGCGGGAATGAAAATGTTGTCTTCTCACTTAGTCATTCTTTGCTCTTTGAACAGAGGTGTCAAACCTACAGTTGACAGAATTTCAGGGCAATTTTGTTGATGTGGAATAATTCTGAGTGAAAAAGGCCAACAGGTTTGTAGACTAGCTCTCTCTTTTTTAACTTTTAGTTCTAGATCACATTTTATCCTCATCTACCTCTCTTTCAGCTGTGACAGTCTGTAGACCAGGAGTGGAGAGCCTGTTGGACCCTATTTCCCATCAACTCCAGCCAGCATGGCCAGTAGTCAAGAAATATGAGGAATAAAAGTCAACAGGTAGAAATCCTCTGGCTGCATAGGTACTATACTAATAGGAGAAGCCTAGTTTTACATAATGCACCAGTCTTTCTTGTGCAGCTACTTGCAAGAGTGGTAGTAGCACAACTAGGAGTAGACTTAGACATAACTAGTATAGCTGTCTGTTTGCAGAATAATATGTCTAGCTCTGAAAAAGTGTTGACTATTACTCCAAAGAGAACACTATCACTTGTGAAACTGGAAAATCCAGTGAGCGTCTTTTACTGCACAGTTTCCTCTGCTAACATCACATTGACTTTAGGCCAGTGTCATTGAAATAAATATGGATTTAACTTCACATCCTATTTTGTCCCTACATTTTTCTGTGAGGCTGTGCTGTTAGAAAGATGCCATTATGTGCTGGCATAATATAAGAAAGTAGGATGGATGAGTCCCACAAAAAGAGTATACAAGTGAATGTGGAACTGATCCCCCACTTCTGGGTCTTATCTCTAACAATTTGTCTCTTGATACTACTTTCCCTCCACTGGAATATATATCGGAAGGTCTGACAGAGTGACTACTGGAAATGAAGTGAGGGTGGGGGATAGTATTATACTCCTTTGCTGTATACTATATACTTTTCTTCTCCTGCTTTCTACATAGCTGTAAGTACATCTAGCTTTAACCAACAGATCTGCTACTGGTGCATTGCTGCACCTATTTTGGCCATAAATCCTTCTGTCTTAACAGCTGTTTTTTCTATCTTCCTTTTTTGTGGGTGAGCATGCAAATGCGTTTAAGATTTTTGGCAGAAGTAGTCAGGAAAAGATCTGACTGTTTTAAACCTGGGTCCATATTCAGCCGATAGCACTGTAAGACTCATAGCTTGGCTTACAAATTCCAGATGAACCCCAATGGCTCATTCTTCTACTTTAGCCCATATTTATGGAACTGTGTATGTATAGGCCATTGCCTTCCTCCAACAAAGAACGTGGGTTCTACATATTTGCCAAGTTGGGCCTTTTTTGGGTCACTCATTTTTGGGACTGTAATTATGGAATCAATTCAAACAATTTCACGAGTCCGCAGGCTTGAACCAATCTTGTCCATTCTCTTTCTTTGCCTAGCAGCTGGTGGATTTTTTCTCTTGGCCCTGTGGCAATACACAGCATCCACCTCCTAATAGGATTACTTTGGGTGGTCAACATACCTGGAATCACAACTGTGTGACAGGCAAAGTGTAGCCATGCTAATTATTCTGCCCCATTTTTTACATTCTAGTTGTCCTGTCTTTGCCACTCTTCACACACTGAATAGGAAGGACTGAAGAAAGGACAGAAGGTAGATTATCAGTGACTCTTTCCTTTTGGCTTTTTACACTATTTAAAACTGTTCTTACTGCACAGTTTTTCATTACTGGACTTCTGGATTCTTATAGAGCCTCTTGTGTCATTTGGTTTTATATTGCACATTTGAATACTTTGCACTTCTTGTCCTGAAGGAATGTATAAAAAAAGAAAGAAAATTTATTGTGTAGAATGATGTGTTGTATATGATAAAGAAGCGTAGGTGACAATGCTGTTTCATTTTTCATGACGTTTGCTTTAAAAGCAAATCCACAGTCTTAAAAGAAAGATGAAACCATGTCTGTAATATATTAGATATTGAACCATTTTTATCTGCCACTTACTTTTTGCTATGAATGTTTTTTTCATTGTAATAAGTTACCCCCCCCCAAAAAAAAATTGGAGAGAAAACTTGAACTGTATGACCAGCTGTAAAAAAATGATCTGATTTTGTAATCTAACAGTGGTTTTTTTCTTATTAAAAAGGAGACATTGAATGCAAAATAAAATATTTTAAAAACAGTATTATATGTGTAACTATTTATTTATTTTGTTGGCTTTATGAGATACATTTTTAACTATTTCAATTTTTATGAAAAGTATGGCTCATGATAATTCTTTGTCAAACACTGTTTTAGAATATGTGTGTATGCATTGCTTTAATTTCTGCTAATTAGGTATTCACCACTTTTTTAGTTCATAGGCAGTGCTTGAGTGTGCAACCTCTTTTAGCTGAGAGAGCACTGGAGATTTCTGTTGGTTTTGTAATATCAGTTTCATTTTAGTAAAGCATAAAGGAAGCAGACAGGCTTCTATAGCAGGCAGTGAAATAGTGTTGCTAGTTCAGGATCATCCCAGGCCCTGAGGTTTCCAGGCCCAAAACTGAGAACTAGGGATTGATCCTGGTGATGCCATTAAGCATTATGCATTAAGTACCGCGCACAGTTGCTCACATGTTTTCATTCAAACACACACACACTCACAAAGAGAGAGAACATATTTTTCTGTTTGGAAAATGAGATAGAAATCTTAGCTAAAGGGACTATTTCCAAATGGGATAAGGAACATTTAATCTACCCAACTTGCTTCAGAGAGCAGAGTGGAGAGTGAGTCCTGGCACCACAATGATGGGCAGGAAAGGGGGAAGCTTAGTAGAGCCTTAGGAGAATCTTTGCAAGTTGCATCAACAAATGATTTCAATCTTACACATTGTAGCAAGCTGCTGTTACACTAGCTGGGATGGAGACTTGCCTACAGACCTTTCCTCTGGTCCAGAATGAGCCCACCAAGACTGGACAATTTCCATCCTTTTCTCCTGCCTGGAAGTGATTCACAACAACCTGAGGTTCAATCAACCCTGGAAGATACTAATAATTAATCAGATTCCAAGAAAACAACTTAATGTCCATAGCCTTTCAAATCAACTAAATTCACATCTGCTTTCTTTTAGCTAATTACTTCTGAATATTGAATTGCAACAATGTCAATTTCTTTGTCATCCACACTAGCTGAAGACACTGCTTTTCAAAGTCAAAGGAGTGAGATTTCATCATTAATATCCTATTGAGAAACTGATAACTTCTGACCTTAGCAAACTGTTTTAATTTATAGATGACCTTTCCACTCAAGAGCTCAAAACTGGATGAGCTAATCATAGGTCAAAGTCATAGTCACCCCATTGTCTACATGGTTACCCCATTATTTCACAACAATGCTGTGTGAGTTGGTGGCTGTTGTGTGCCTTTGAGTTGTTTCTGACTTATGGCAACCCTGAGGTGACTCTATCCTAGGGTTTTCTTGGTAAGATTTCTTCAGAGGAGATTTGCCATTATCTTCCTCTGAGGCTGAGAAAGTATGACTTGCCTAAGGTCACCCAGTGGGTTTTCATGATCGAGCGGGGATTCGAACCCTAGTTCCCAGTGTCAGTCCAGCACTCCGATCACTATACTATGCTGGCTCTACCTCTGTGTGGTAGATCAGGCTACATTTGGGACTTTGAACTTGTGTTTCTCCAAGTCCTAGTCCAAAATGATAACTACTACACAACACTGGCTCAACTAAATTATGGTTAGGTCATCCAGTTCTTCACTAGATCTTCACTAGATTTTTCAGTTAAATGTAGAGAAAGTTGGGAAAAGGAATACATTTCTCATGTTGGTTCATTTTATTATTATGGAGAATCCACATGGTTCTATTGTCAAAATCATTATTATCCAGGTCTCCCCCTTGTGTTGATCACACATGGTTTTTGTTTTAAATAGATACATTTAAATACATTTATTTAAATACATTAAATAAATACATTAAATAAATACATTTGTAGACCTAATCTGTCCAGTGTGGGTGGATAAAGTTGTACTGAGGCCTTTTAAGGACTCTGTCTTTCAACATTTTCTTTCTGCATAGCTAACTTTTTTTGTTGCTGGTTCCAAGGAGTTAATGATGTTCCTTAACTGTTCCTTGGATAACCAGTCTTTCTTGTCCCAGTGGTGGTTAATGTTCCTGCAATGGGAAAAGGGATTTTAATTACATGTTTCCTCTTGTTGTTTTTCCTGCAGAGAAAATTATTTTAATTTTAAATACATGCAAGGAAAGCAGTAATTAAAGCTTAAAAACATGGACAGAATCAGGTACTGTGATGATTAAAAAACAAGTATCTAAATACTTTAGTCTAAACTGATGACAGATCCCATCTGATCCTGGAAGCTAAGAAGAGTCAGCCCTGGTTAGTACGTGGATGAGAGACTGCCTATGAAGACCAGGCACTATAGACTGCATTTCAGAGGGAAGAACTAGCAAATCACCTCTGAGTATTTTTGCCTAAGAAAAACTTTTTCTCAGGCATCTACATATAGGGGTGGCAGATGTGGCCATGAAGGTATGAAAGTCTGGGACCAATTCCATGGAGCACTTTCATATAATTAATATAAAATACATGAAGTTGGGTGCAAAGAAGAACATGAAAGCTTAGCCAGCATAGCCAATGCCGTAGGGTCACAGGAGATGCAACCCCCAAACATTTCCCAGCTGTGGTATGAGGATTAAACACTGCCAAACTCTACAAGTAAAGAATATTATCAAGGTAATATTCAAGCTTGAGAGCCAGTGTGGCACAGTAGTTTGAGTGTTGGACTACGACTCTGGAGGCCAGGGTTCAATTCCTAGCTTGGCCATGAAACCCATGACCTTGAGCAAGTCACATGCTTTCAGCCTCAGGGGAAGGCAGTGGCAACCCTCCTCTGAACAAATCTTGCCAAGAAAACCCCATGATAGGGACCTCTTAGGGTTGCCATCAGTCAGAAATGACTAGAGAGCACACAGCAGCAGCAACAACATTCAAGCATTTAGGGAAAGTGTTTTATTGGTATTATTATATAATTAGGTGATTGGTTTTGAAAGCCATTTTGATAGGAAAATATGGAATGTAGAGAAGGCAAAATGTGATTTGTTTTTCAGGAGAAAAAACTACACAAATGCACCAGAGCTATATATAAAATAAGTTATATATAAAATAAATGGATGTAGTTTAGTCATCTCAGCATCTGTGAACATCAGTGCATCCAGACAAGACTTATGTTAATCACTTTCTTGGAACAATTATTAAAGAAGGTCAAAGAGGAAAGTGCAAAGGCAGGCTTAATGCTGAACATAAAGAAAACAAAAATAATGACCATGGAGGGCCAAAATACATTCAGCCTAGACAATGAGGAAATCGAAATAATAAAAGAGTTCCCATACCTTGGATCAAACATCAGTCAGGAAAGAGACTGTAGTCAAGAAATCAGAAGAAGACAAGGGAAAGGCAGCAATGAAAGAATTAGACAAGAGCCTAAATGTAAAGATATACAGCTGAGCAGTAAAGTTAGAATGGCCCCATACATTGTATTTCCCATCACCATGTATGGATGCAAGAGAGGGACAGTGAAGAAATGGATAACAAGAAAGCCAACTCATTGGGACATGGTGCTGAAGAAGAGTGCTGAAAATATTGTGGATAGCCAAAAAGGCAAACAAATGTGTCCCTGAACAGATGAAGCCTGAAATCTCCCTGGAAGCCAAGATGATCAAACTGAGGCTGTTGTATTTTGGCCATATTGTGAGAAGGCATCGCTCATTCAAAAAGACCATAATGCTAGGAAAGATGGAGGGAAGTAGAAAGAGAGGTGGATCACAAGTAAGATGGATGAACTCAATCAAGGAAGACAGGGGCATGAAGTTATAGGATCTAAGCAGAGTAGTGGAGGACAGGGAGTCTTGGAGATGATTCATCCATAGGGTTTCTGTGGGTTGGGGGGGTGACTTTAAGGCAGTTAACAACTCCTTCATGGAATTTTATGGGGTGGGGTAGGGGTATCCAGATAACAATGACTTTCATCTTACACCCATCCCATGTTCTCCCCCTCCTTACCCCCTTTTTTATTTCTACACAAAAAAGTCTATTCATGCAAAAATGATAGAATAGCCTTACTGTGTATTTTGATGAATATTACCAGAAGTCTGCTGTCTGCAAGCGCCTGGAAATTTTCATTTCAGTCAGCTGACAGACAAATTTAGATATAATGATAGTGTCCTGACTTTGAATTTCTTTGAGGGAGACCAGTCTTGTAACTGAATGCTCTTAAAAGATCCTGCTTGGGTTGTTTGTTCCATCTAGAGGAAATGTTAATGGCACAATAAATTACATTTATTGCCAGTCATAAACAAACCAAGAATTATCATAAATATATGGCCAGGAACTTTGCTTTAGAGAAGAAGGGATAATGATTCCCTCAGGGAAAAAGACAGGTATTTTGGGGGACAGGATGGTCCAAGACAATGTTACCCCTCCAAAAATTCTCCAAAGCCAAGAGGCAGAGTGGCCATAGACAGACAAGGTATTTTGGACCTGACAAACAAAATCCAACAAGCACTTTCCCCTACTATGGAAGTCACTGTGCAATGTTGGCTAAGATCCTGGCTTGGGAGACAAATCGTAAAGTTCTGCACATATAGAACTATGACATGTCCCCCCTTCACCCCAACCCACCTTTTTAAGGTGCTGCAGTACCACCAAACACTGTATAAAAATCTGAGCTGTCATCCTTACAGCAGAGCAAGCAGTGGTGCTTGTGGGAACAAGAGTACAGTAGTTATATTTCTCCAGCTGGGATCTGAATGCTGAGAAGCAATGGTTTCAAAAGAGAGGGAAGGAGAAGGGAGATTTCTTTCCAGGTTTATGACATGTGTGAAAATTAAATATGGCTGTGCAGTGTGATCTTGGACACATTTATTCAGATGTTAGTCCCATGTTATTCATTGGGAATTTCTCATGAATGTGCCTAGGTGCCATGTTATTGTTTGATTTGTTGTATTCAGTGGGGATTTCCAGAATGAGGCAACCACTTTAAGTCACAGAGGCCAGGGGAAACAGTGGCAACCACCCAAATGTTGCCTTTCAAACCCTCATGCCATTTGCTACTCTGCCCTCCACCTCTTAGCTCATTTGCTGCCCTCAGGTATGATGAAGGATCCTATTTTGTAGTCTAGGATTAGCATGCATATGCCTAAGCATGGTGTACAACTCTGGGGAGCAGTTCAACCACCAGCTCAGCCATGAAGCCCACTTGGGCATGTCACACCCTCTCAACCTCAGGGGAAGGCAACGGCAAACCTCCTCTGCATAAATCTTGCCAAGCAAACCCCATGATAAGTTTGTCTTAGGGGACACCCTAAGTTGGAAATGACTTGAAGGCACTCAACAACAACAACAAAAAATTACCATACATCCTCCTTCCCCTGGTCAAGTCCTTTTTTTCAGAGCTAGGATTCTTCAGTTTATCACATGGCACTTGCAGAAATGGAAAAGGAATGGAAGGGAACTGCAAGGAATGGGGCAAGAATACATGTTACTGCACAGGAGAACGTCGCCAATGCCGCTGGGAATCCCCAAGCCATTCCCCAGCTGTTCTTGGCAGCCAATTTTTAAGATCGGTTCAAAATTGTTCTTCAAAATCGGCTGCCATCTGTTCCTATTCCTGCAAGTGCCATGCGATAAACATATCTGTCTGGGAGGATTTTTTATCCTGGAATTTTTAACATATCTGCTGTTGCTTTGCCACTTGCCTGCTGATGCCTCGTCCATATTGCAATCTCCATAGAGAGTTCCACTAGGAGATGGGATGGAGACTGGCCAGGGGGAGCCCTTGGAGAGATGCTGACTCCATGACTTGGAGCTGTGGGGGAGAAGGGATGCAGATCCAGAAGGGGAAGGGGAACTAACTGAGCAAGGGGACTGAGGGAGTCTTTGGTGGCACAGGGGCAATGGAACAGGGTGGCTTGGGGAAGCAGCTGAGGAAGAGGGGAAGGGAAGACCCTTAGGGTTCAGAATATTTCTAATAGCATTTAGCACAGCTTATACAGTAGGGGTATTTAAAGGAAACAGGTCTAAATACCCTAAGGGCACCAGATTGCACCTGATCTTGGAAATTAAGCAGGGGTCAGCTCTGGTTAGTACTTAGATGGGAAACCACCAACAAATACCAGGTGCTGTAGGTTGTATTTCAGAGGAAAGGACTGGCAAACCACCTCTGTGTATTCCTTGCCCCCCCCCAAAAAACCGCTATGAAATTAATGGGATCGCCATAAGTCAACAGGTGACTTGAAGGCTGGCTGGTGGTTTGAAGTAGTCAGCAAATGTGTCTTCAATTTTGCTTTTCAAAATGTGGTAACTCCTGTCATGGTCATTCTTCAGTTAAGCTTTGACAACCAGTCCAGTCAGCTTCCATTCATGGAATGGACAATGACGGTGCCTTGTCCTTTGCCTCAGCCAACAAAATGTATTGAGCCAAAGTGACTCCCCACCCTCGACTTAAAGTATGAAGGAAGTAAATTCCATCAAACCTCCCTGACAGTGTCCTGAAGGGATTATTCTTGAACTTCTGGCTTAGACTTTAACACAGAGTTCTGGTTCCCCAACACTGCTGATGTGCCTAGCTAAGCAAACACAAGCTGGAGGGGCAGTGGAGTCAGAGGATATATTTTGTCAGATAAGCTGTTTTCCCAGAACGTCTCTGTCATCTGAACCCAAAAGCTTATTCTTTCAAACAAAAGTGATTCATCCTCTCTCCTGTTTTTGTCTTCTTTGAAGATACATACAGATTCCCTCCCCAATCCTGATTTAAGTTCCCAAGCCTTGGTATGTCCCTTCCTGAGACCAGACTGAGACATAGATCGTGATGATGTTACTAAATAAATACCTGCAGAGAAAAAGTCAATTGTATGTCAGTTTAATGATTATATAAAAGAAGGCTCCTTCTTGGTTGGTCGGTTTTGTCCATTATGTAGCAAGGATTAACCTCTGAAACAGAATATAGTTCGCTGGACCTTGAAGAGATCCCATCGCCTTCCCTTCTTTAATAATTATTCTGAATATATTTCAGAAATGGGCTTCACAGACCTGAAAAGACTAGCGTTGACAAAATGGAATAGGTATTAAAAGTCTTTTTGTCCCTACGAAAGACCCAGGTCTAATCTGCGCTGCATAATTCATGCAGTTTTATACCACTTTAACTGCCATGGCTCAGAAATCCTGGGATTTGTAGTTTGATGTGGCAGCAGAGCTCTCTGACAGAGGAAGGTAAATATCTCACAAAACTACAAATTCCATAATTCCATAGCCATGGCAGTTAACGTGGTATCAAATTGCATTATTTCTGCAGTGCCGATTAAACCTCAAACTTGTTTAATCCATTTGCTTTCTCTGGGGAATTTGGAAACTGCAGTTCCTGAGGATATATGTCTCAGTTAGACCATGGTCAATGCCTTCAATAAGATACCATTTGCATTGGCTCCAGTGGCAAAAGTTTATTGAAAGAGAAAGTTTTCTTCCTAGATATACCTACGTTATAAATGGATACTTATAAAGAATTTTTTAAATATGAAATGGTTATGAATAGGTAACTGTTCAAATATTGGGGAATCTCTTTGGGTCAAATTAGATGACGTTTAGTGGCTATTGGAAGATGAATTCCTCAACTGAATAAGGTGGGGTATTTTTAATCATAGAATATCCTTCATCTACACATTTTGAACTTAGTATGCTTTTTGTGATTGAAAGGTAAACATGGGCTTTAGTTGCAAGTGAGCCATGTATCTAATGAAATCCTGTCATAGGAGGACAAATGGATTAATGCCA